GGGGGAGGTCCCTAGCAGCTCAGGGTGCTGCCCGCATTCACTCAACCTTCACCACCTCCACCACCACCACCACCTCCACCACCACCACCTCCACCTCCACCACCACCACCACCTCCACCACCACCACCATCACCATCACCACCACCTCCACCACCACCATCACCACCTCCATCACCACCACCATCACCACCACCACCACCCCCATCACCACCACCACCACCAGCACCACCACCACCACCACCTCCACCACCACCTCCACCACCACAACCTCCACCACCACCACCACAGCTAAATAAAACACGGCGGATCCTCTTCCTCCTCCTCACCCCTGACGACGACGGTGACGATGGCGGCTGCAGGAAAAGTACGACGCAAGTTCCGCCGTGCGGCTGGTGACCCACAACTGGATTGCTCGTTCCGGGGGCGGTGGCGGCGGCGGTGCCGGTGCCGTTACCGGTGGCCGCGAAAGCGGCAAAGCGGCCCGCTGGCCGCGCCTGCACCTGGAGCCGGTGGACGAGGCGTTCGTGGCGCCCACTCCGAGCGAGCTGGTGCACGTGCACGGCAGCCCCGACTACTGCGAGCGCGACGATGCCCGCGGCGTTCCCGGCACGGTGGGGCGGCGGTGCGACTTGCGCTCCAACGGCACCGGGGATTGCTCGATCATGTGTTGCGGCAGAGGGTACAACACCGTCCGAGGTGTGACCTCCCCCCCCCCACCGTCGCCGCGACCCGAAAATAAACTCAAACTATTCGTTAAGAATCTTCTTGGTTCTTTCGGTAAAGTCACGTAGAAGGGAAGTAATAAATAATAAAAAAAAACATAATAAAATTATTCTCACGACGTTTCGGCCACAACGCAAGCAGCCGTCCTCAGGTGAAGACCAGGTCCGTCGAGGCGACAGCGTCTGAATGAAGCAGCACACAGACGCTGTCGCCTCGACAGATGTGTTTTTCACCTGAGGACGGCTGCTTGCGTTGTGGCCGAAACGTCGTGAGAATAATTTATTATGTTTTTTTTATTATTTTATTACTTCCCTTCTACGTGACTTTACCAAAAGAACCAAGAAGATGAATCCCTGCAGTCACGAAAGCTTTAAATCGAAATTTATTCATTAAGAAGCTACGAAAACTATTTTATGTTTGACCAGGCAAGTTCCGCCGAGCTGCGTAGATCCAGCCACAGACGATAGGTCGACCAAGTGGCTCGTCGCGTAGAAACGCACAGCGTCCAAATACTCTTAAATCGCCTGATTTTCAACGTGGAGGGAGAAGCGGAGGACCCGGAGACAAATCCACGTGACCTACGGGCAGAGAGAGACACGCAAATGCAGCATCAGCGGGCATTGTCAGAGTTGGGATCGAACCCACGACCTCCTGCACAACAAGCGAGGGAGTTAACATCTCCTAGCCACCGTGATGATGATGAGAGAGAGAGAGACGCAGACTCCAAATATACAGCAGCAGCAGGCATCGTCAGGGTCAGTGCAATGTCTCTCATATCCTACAGTACTTAGCTAGGACAAGCGTGCACTACTTGTGCTCGGATAACGACAGACACCCTCTCTTTCCACACTGTCCCTGTACTACTATACACTATCACTCTTGACTTAAAGCTTTCGTGACAGCAGGATTTAATATTCTTTGGGTCTTTCGGTAAAGTCACGTAGATAGGTGAAAAAAATCACTAAAATAAACCAAACGGTCGCTTGTGTTGCGATCGAAACGTCGTAGTTTTTTGTTACTTTTATTATTTTTTTAGGCCATCTACGTGGCTTTAGCGAAAGACCCCAAGGATACTATTCTTCGCTCCGTTACACTACTATGCTATACAGTACACTATACACTACACTACTATACACTACACTATACACTACACTATACACTACACTATACACTACACTATACACTACACTACACTATACACTACACTATACACTTCACTATACACTACGCTATACACTACACTACACTATACACTACACTATACACTATACTATACACTACACTATACACTACTACACTACACTATACACTACACTATACACTACTATACACTACACTATACACTACACTATACACTACACTACACTATACACTATACTATACACTACACTATACAGTACACCACGCAATGAAATAAAAAATGCATTTCTTTAGAACTGCTTTCTGTGAATCTTAGGTCGCTCTAAGGGATATCTACGGAAGTTGCCAACGTCTACGGAGAGAAGTGCACGGAGACTTTTGTCACCTCGCGACGGCGATTGCAGAATCGCGATAAAAACCTCGTGGGCAAAACGACAATGTCCGACGTTTTGCACTCTCGCCTCTGCTGTGTTCCCCTCCCAGTGACGGTGGAGAAGCGGTGCAGATGCAAGTTCCGGTGGTGCTGCTCCGTCAAGTGCGAGCGGTGCCCGCAGACCGTTGACCAACTCTCTTGCAAGTAGACAAGTAGACTGCAGCCGCAAGCTGCCGGGGTGGCCTCGGCTGGAGATCGACTCCAGTCGGGGTTCAGCCGAGTCCTGCCGGGTTCGGTGATCCGTTCAAAGTTGTTGAGGGTGCCAGCACCACGGCATCCAGCACTACACTATACACTACACTATACACTACACTATACACTACACTATACACTACACTATACACTACTATACACTACACTATACACTGCACTATACACTACACTATACACTACACTATACACTACACTATACACTACACTACACACTACTATACACTACACTATACACTACACTACACACTACACTACACACTACACTATACACTACACTATGCACTACACTATACACTACACTATACACTACACTATACACTACACTACTATACACTACACTATACACTACACTATACACTACTATACACTACACTACTATACACTACACTATACACTACACTATACACTACACTACTATACACTACTATACACTACACTACTATACACTACACTATACACTACTATACACTACACTATACACTACACTATACACTACACTATACACTACACTACTATACACTACACTACATTATACACTACACTACTATACACTACACTACTATACACTACACTATACACTACTCTACACTACTCTACACTACACTACTATACACTACACTACTATACACTATATACACTACACTGCTCTCTATATGTTACATGTTGATATACATGACATCTTGATGTGACGTGAGGCAGACAACGATGCTAGTACCTGCCTCCATTCCCGTTCTGTATCGGCCAAGAGTTTTCGTAGCTGTGAATTAAAAGTGTTTTGCATGTTCCGTCAAACAAAATCCTCAGGTTTCTATCTCATCGTTTTGATATCGCGATGGATTCAAAGTTGACGTCACTCGGGTAACGACGGCGGTCAACTGCACCGGTGCCGCGGTTTGGGTTGGGCTGTAGCAGGATGGAATTAATCCGTGACAGAATGAATGACGCATTCAAGTTCAAGTACTAGGTGTAGCCCTGTGAGCCATTCGGCTCTTGAATCGGGTGCAACCGCAACAAACAAAAAACTAAACATGAACAAAAAACATCTTCAAGTGAATATGTGACTAAGTGCAAACAGAAAATCCAAGAAAAGACAGCAACATATTGCAGAAAAAGCACCGTATACCAACGCTGTGTGCAAAAATCCCAGTGGGATGTAAGTCAAACAACCAACAACAACAACCACAAGACAACTTAGATCAAGGCCATCAGTCTAACTCTGTACTACAACAAACAACAACAACAACAACCACAAAACAACTTAGATCAAGGCCATCAGTCTAACTCTGTACTACAACAAACAACAACAACCACAAGACAACTTAGATCAAGCCCATCAGTCTAACTCTGTACTACAACAAACAAACAAACAACAACAACAACCACAAGACAACTTAGATTAAGGCCATCAGTCTAACTCTGTACTACAACAACACAAACAACAACAACCACAAGACAACTTAGATCAAGGCCATCAGTCAAACTCTGTACTACAACAAACAACCAACAACAACAACCACAAGACAACTTAGATTAAGGCCATCAGTCAAACTCTGTACTACAACAAACAACAACAACAACAACCACAAGACAACTTAGATCAAGGCCATCAGTCTAACTCTGTACTACAACAAACAACAACAACAACCACAAGACAACTTAGATCAAGGCCATCAGTCTAACTCTGTACTACAACAAACAACCAACAACAACAACCACAAGACAACTTAGATCAAGGCCATCAGTCTAACTCGGTTAATGCCGGGGAGGAAGCCAACCGGAGTCAATGGGACGGCCTAATATGGGGGTCTTTGTCGATCCACAAATCTCTTTAGATCGAGAAATCTCGGTGCCATCCACAAATCGTCAGTTTCTCGTTCAGAAATCACGTGGCGGGAGTCACTTTTAACGATAAAACATTTGTATTTCAAATATCACTGCTTGATCCACGCTCCATCGCATAGACCAACACACTCTAAATGCCAGAGCTCAATCACTGCTCGCTCCTGGGCCTCCCCTAGGTCGACTCAGCATCAATCGAGAGCCTGGTGCGGTGTGTAGCAGTGAACATCGCCACGGGAGAGACACAGGCGGCTGGGCGTGGTGCTGGCCACCCCCCCCCCTCGTGGGCCTCCACTCGCGAGCAGCTCTTGTCTGTGGGGGGGGAGGTACAGGGGGGTACTGGGGGGGGTACAGGGGGGTACGGGGGGGGTACGGGGGGGGGTACTGGGGGGTACAGGGGGGTACCTGGGGGTTACTGGGGGGGGGTACAGGGGGGGTACGGGGGGGGTACATCACTTACACACACACAGAACTTTGCACGTATAAAGTAATGTGCATAGACATTTTTGATTTAAAGATTTCGTGACTGCAGGGATTCATGTTCTTGCTTCTTTCGGTAAACTCACGTAGAAGGGAGATACACAATACAATATAAAACAATAAAAAATAATTAAATCGCGACTTTTTCGCGGGCAACACACACGGACGGAAGCTTGCGTTGCCTCCGAAACGTCGAGATTTAATTTAAATTTCAAATTTTTTCACCTCCGTGACTTTACCGAAAAAAACACAGAGTATGCGCGTAGACTCTTTGGTTATTTCTATTTTATATTTAATAAAATGTTCAACCACGTGACTTTACCGAAAGAAGCAAAGGATATGGATCCTATCAGTCACGAAAAACTTCAAATCGACTGCTGCACATACAGAACTGTGGCCAGTGTTGAGTCTATGGGCGCTTATCAGCTCTACGGAATTTAGCCTCGCAGCCACGTGGTCGCCTATCCGCGCTACGTTTTCTAAACGCGCCCTGCTAAAGCCACGCGTGTTCCCACCAGCGGACCGTCTCCCGCCCTGGTTGTGGTAGCGAAACGTCGAAACTCCTCCTCCACCACCACCACACGAGTCAATAGCTTCGTGTGTCACCTCCTCGCCACGACGGAGTAGAGAGCTCAAGACCCCCCACCACCCACACAGACGTCTACGGAGCGAACCACGAGGTGAGTGAGTGCAGCCCTAGGCCACATTGCCCCGCCTGGTTGGGCTGGGATTGGGCTGGGCTGGGATTGGGATTGGGCTGGGCTGATACCCCCCCACCCCCCACCACCATCCCCTGTGGTCTTTGTGGAACAGTTGAGGGGTCTAAACTGTGTTGGTCAATCCACCCGTGGAATGTAACATTCATGTAAATGTCTAAGTCGAGATCATTTAATCAGAATCTGGGGTCGTGACGGTGACTAGGTGGATGTTAACTCATTCGCCTGGTCTACAGGAGGTCATGAGTTCGATCGCGACCCTGTAGAGATATTGACTACCTCGCCTGGTCTACAGGAGGTCGTGGGTTCCATCATGTCCCTGTAGAGATGTTAACTCCCTCGCCTGGTCTACAGGAGGTCGTGAGTTCGATCCCAACCATGACGCCCCTCTATCAAGTTCAAGTTTATGTATTAGGTGTAGCCCTGTGAGCCATTCGGTTCTTGAATCGGGTGCAACCGCAACAAACAAAAAACAAAAAAATGAACAAGAAAACATCTTAAAGTGAATATGTGACTAAGTGCAAACAGAAAAACTAAGAAAAGACCAAAATATTGCGGAAAAAAACACCGTACACCAACCCTGTGTGCAAAAATCCCAGTGGGATGCAAGTCAAACAACAACAACCACAAGACAACTTAGATTAAGGCCATCAGTCTTACTCCGTACTACAACAAACAAACATGGCCAAACGAAAAAAAAAGGGCCGAACAAAAGCTGTTTAGGCACGCAGTGGCTGGGCATGTGGGTTACATGACCCAGCCAACGCAGCCTTGCCTGCCGGAGGAGCTCACCGATAGGACTTTGTCCAGGTCTTTCAAGGATTTGTGAGCTCCACCGGTTAAGATAGATCGTAGACAGGCCAGCCTCAATGTTTAGGCTGGTCTGTCTAGAATTTCCCTTGGGAGATCATCTCTGCCTGGTGCCTTTCCTGGTCGCCTTCAGGACTTCCTCAACTGATGGCCCCTCAGCCACCCACTCACAGCATTTGAGGCACCGCAGCCTCAGCAGGGTCATCCCCACTTTTCAAATCTACAAACCTGTTCATGGGGGGGATCGGAGATTGGATCACCATACTTTCCCCTAATGACGGTGATAGGTGTGGCACTACAATTTACGTTTTTGATGGAATTAAACAGCGATGTCTGATCACGGGCTACTGAGGCAGATTCCATCTCCTCAGAAACCTGCGACCACCACCCATCATTGCAGCACCTCCCGGCTCTCAAAACCTCTGAGCGAAGGCTGCGGTAAGCCTCCTCATTCTCTGACGTGGAATGCTGTAGACCAGGGGTCCTCAAACTACGGCCCACGGGCCACATGCGGCCCGCCGAGGACATTTATCCGGCCCGCCGGGTGTTTTTGCCGCCGCTGCCTGTCTGTTACTTTTTTTCTACATGAGAAGGACGGTCATTGGTGGAAGAGGGAGAGGGGGCGGAGTTTCCCCCAATCAGACTGCATTGATGGGCAGTGCAGTCTGTATGTCTCTGTGTGGGCAAAGTTATTGCTGGTATATTGTTTTTGTAGCGCTGTATATATTGGTATTTTACTAATAGCAATTTTGACTCCCTAGGAAACAATGATGTCAAGAAAGAGAAAAATTGACTCGGAGTGTAGGATATTCAAAGAACAGTGGACTTATGATTATTTTTTCATGCAGTACAAGGAAAGAGCTGTGTGTCTGATATGCCAGAATATAGTGTCTGTGTTCAAAGAATACAATTTACGTCAACACTATAAAACTCAACATAAAGATACATTTGCTTGTTTGGTCGGAGAAGTGAGAAAAGATACAATATTAAAACTGAAAAATACATTAACAACTCAGCGAAATAGTTTTGTGAAGCAGAAGCAGCTAAATATTTCATCACTGCGAGCAAGTTTTCAAATTGCCAAGCTAATAGCATGCACTGGCAGACCATTCGTGGAGGGAGAATTTGTTAAAGAAAGCCTTCTTTCTGTTGCCAAAGAGATGTGTCCAGAGAAGGCCGATTTATTTAGTACAGTGAGTCTTTCAGGACCTACAATTACACGGAGGATTGAAGAAATGGGAGACAATTTGCATCAGCATTGCAAAACTCCACAAAAAAACTTTCCTATTTTTCCTTGGCACTCGACGAAAGCAATGATGTTCGTGATTCTGCACAACTTCAAATTTTTATTCGTGCGACGAATGACTATTTCGAAGTCACAGAAGAGCTTGCTGCACTGCAAAGCATCAAAGGAACAACTACAGGAGAGGATATCTTTCGATTTAAAGCTTTCGTGACTGCAGGGATTCATCTTCTTGGTTCTTTCGGTAAAGTCACATAGAAGGGAAGTAATAAAATAATTCTCACGACGTTTCGGCCACAACGCAAGCAGCCGTCCTCAGGCGAAAACCAGGTCTGTTGGGGAGACAGCGTCTGAATGAAAGAGCACACGAGCTTGGAGCATATATAAGCTGGGTTGGAAGCGGGGGAAAGAGCGCCTTGACAAAATAATTTCAATATCAAGAGGAATTTAGCATATTTATGGGAAATGCAGGAATGTGATTAGTACTACATATGCCCGTGCTGCATATGTAGTACTAATAACATTCCTGCATGTCCCATAAATATGATAAATTCCTCTTGATATGCAAATTATTTGTCAAGGCGCTCTTTCCCCCGTTTCCAACCCAGCTTATATATGCTCCAAGCTCGTGTGCTGTTTCATTCAGATGCTGTCTCCCCGACAGACCTGGCTTTCACCTGAGGACGGCTGCT